TTTCAACGGTATTGAAAAACCATTCCGTGGCTATTTCCAAATACCCCAGTATACGGTATACCGGCCAAGCCTATAGGATGCTATTTGGAACACAGTCACAGAACCGCTGGTTTGTCTGCGGAGGATACCCAGCTCATGTGCTCAATTTGTATAGTTATAATGGCCGAATGATTTCCTGTGAATAGAGTAGAAGGATTATAGGAAATTGAGGTTATTAATGGTTTCTCCTCTCTCAGGCTGAAGATATTGACCTAACAGAGATTCTGAAGAAGAAGGAAGAGATCGCTGAGACCAGAAACACTATTTTCCAGGAAATCAGTCAAGAAAGAAAATAATATGTACTTTACATGTTCCAACATTGTTCTGTCATTCTAATTACAGTTGAAGTCGGAAGTTTACATACACCTTAGCCAAATACATTTAAACTCTGTTTTTCACAATTTCTGACATTTAATCCAAGTAAAAATTCCCTGTCTTGGGTCAGTTAGGATCACCACTTTTTTTAAGAATGTGAAATGTCAGAAAAATAGTAGAGAGAATGATTGATTTCAGCTTTTTATTTATTTAATCACATTCCCAGTGGGTCAGAAGTTTACATGCACTCAATTAGTATTTGGTAGCATTGTCTTTAAATTGTTTAACTTGGGTCAAACGATTCAGGTAGCCTTCCACAAGCTTCCCACAATAAGTTGGGTGAATTTTGGCCCATTCCTCCTGACAGAGCTGGTGTAACTGAGTCAGGTTTGTAGGCCTCCTTGCTCGCACACATTTTTCAATTCTGCCCACAGATTTTCTATAGGATTGAGGTCACAACTTTGGAAGTATGCTTGAGGCCACAACTTTGGAAGTATGCTTGCGGTCATTGTCCATTTGGAAGACCCATTTGCGACTAAGCTTTAACTTCCTGACTGATGTCTTGAGATGTTGCTTCAATATATCCACATAATTTTCCTTCCTCATGATGCCATCTATTTTGTGAAGTGCACCAGTCCCTCCTGCAGCAAAGCACCCCCAGAGCATGATGCTGCCACCCCTGTGCTTCACGGTTGGGATGGTGTTCTTCGGCTTGCAAGCAACCCCCTTTTTCCTCCAAACATAACGATGGTCATTATGGCCAAACAGTTCTATTTTTGTTTCATCAGACCAGAGGACATTTCTCCAAAAAGTACGATCTTTGTCCCCTTGTGCAGTTGCAAACCGTAGTCTGGCTTTTTTATGGCGGTTTTGGAGCAGTGGCTTCTTCCTTGCTGAGCGGCCTTTCAGGTTATGTCAATATAGGACTCGTTTTACTGTGGATATAGATACCTGTTTCCTCCAGCATCTTCACAAGGTCCTTTGCTGTTGTTCTGGGATTGATTTGTACTTTTTGCACCAAAGTACGTTCATCTCTAGGAGACAGAACGCGTCTCCTTCCTGAGCGGTATGACGGCTGCGTGGTCCCATGGTGTTTATACTTGCATACTATTGTTTGTACAGATGAATGTGGTACCTTCAGGCATTTGGAAATTGAACCAGACTTGTGGAGGTCTACAATTTCTTTTCTGAGGTCTTGGCTGATTTCTTTTGATTTTCCCATGATGTCAAGCAAAGAGGCAGTGAGTTTGAAGGTAGGCCTTGAAATACATCCACAGGTACACCTCCAATTGACTCAAATTATGTAAATTAGCCTATCAGAAGCTTCTAAAGCCATGACATCATTTTCTGGAATTTTCCAAGCTATTTAAAGGCACAGTCAACTTAGTGCATGTAAACTTCTGACCCACTGGAATTGTGATACAGTGAATTATAAGTGAAATAATCTGTGTGTAAACAATTGTTGGAAAAATTACTTGTGTCATGCACAAAGTAGATGTCCTAACCGACTTGCCCAAAACTATAGTTTGTTAACAAGAAATGTGTGGAGTGGTTGAAAAAACGAGTTTTAATGACTCCAACCTAAGTGTATGTAAACTTCCGACTTCAACTGTATGTGTTCCAACTAAGTCCGGGAACACTTCCACACTTCTCATTAAATCAGTTCCACACATCACACCCCTCCCTAATAGCTGTGTCATGTTTGTCTTGTAGATGAAGCTCAGTGCTCTGGCTGAAGGCCGCTTTCCTGAGCTCCCCCAGTTCTCCCCTGAGGCAGACATCCACAGCTACATGGTGAGCTACAGCCGGTGTCCTGACGGCTCCAACTATACCTCTGTAGAAGACCATATGGTCCCATTGTGATGCAGTAGTATCCCCTAGTGTAAATCTGTGAAGGTGTCCAGTAATATTATTTCAGTGTGTTCCTAATTTACTATGTTATTTTCACACGTGTATTATCATTATTAGCCCGGCACCTACATCTTTCACAGACGTGCGTATGATGACGACAACCATTTTATACTAGTGTGTGTGACAGTAAAGGGGTGTGTGTGCAGAGCTCTGGAGGACTGGTGTTTAGGAGTCTGGACAGGGACATGTTTGATGCTGAGCCCATGAGGGAGCTGAGTGGACGCAGGCCTCTGGTCTGTACTGAGTTCCAGGGACAGAGGGTCATACTCAAGGTAACCCCTTTCTCACACACCTTTTAGGGTTGCGTCCCAAATAGCACCCTATTGTCTATATAGTGCACTACTTTTGACCAGGGGCCCATAGACCTCTGGTCAAAAGTTGTGCACTATATAGGAAATAGGGTGCCATTTGGGAGGAAACCTGAAAGGTTAAGAAAACAACATAGTGTATATGTGAAACTCTCTGTCAGGCCCAAATGTGAGCCAACATTTTGAAGCCAAATGAATGTTCTTTTTGGACATGTTCCTGTATTACTGCTCCTGTTTTAAAGACGTTTGATCACATTTAGTTCCGACTGAAAGAGACCCTGCTCTTTTGACGGAGGTTTAGTTGTTATCCTTATTGGTGGTTTGTGTCTGGTTTCCCTTTCAGGGTTACACTGTAAATGAGGAGGCAGAGGCCAGAGTGCTGGAGAGAACCACCCAGTTTCACCGAACCAGGACGCAGAGGGAGAGTCAGCCTGACTCTGGAATACTCCCTCTTCTGGCCCTGTTCTTTGGCAAGGTACTGCTCACTCAGCATCTCTGTCTCGACCCAATCACCTAAGTAAGCTTCATATACAGTGCATTCGGAAAGTATTCAGACCCCTTTACTTTTTCCACATTTTGTTACGTTACAGCCTTATTCTAAAATGGATTAAATAAATACAAATCCTCAGCTATTTACACACAATACCCCATAATGACAAAGCAAAAAAAAGCAAAGTACAGAACAGAGCAAAGTGCAGAGAGATCCTTGATGGAAACCTGCTCCAGAGCGCTCAGGACCTCAGACTGGGGCGAAGGTTCACCTTCCAACAGGACAACAACCCTAAGCACACAGCCAAGACAACGCAGGAATGGCTTCGGGACAAGTCTCTGAATGTCCTTGAGTGACCCAGCCAGGGCCCGGACTTGAACCCGATCAAACATCTCTGGAGAGACCTGGAAATAGCTGTGAAGCAACGCTCCCCATCCAACCTGACAGAGCTTGAGAGGATCTGCAGAGAAGAATGGGAGAAACTCCCCAAATACAGGTGTGCCAAGCTTGTAGCGTCATACCCAAGAAGACTCGAGGCTGTAATCGCTGCCAAAGGTTCTTCAACAAAGTACTGAGTAAAGGGTCTAAATACTTATGTAAATGTAATATTTCAGTTCTTTATTTTTAATACATTTGCAAAAATGTCTAAACCTGTTTTTGCTTTGTCATTATGGGATATTTTGTGTATATTGAGGGTGGGGGAGGTGGAACTATAGCTCTGTATTGACATGATTGGTTGACGGTAGGTGGGGGCGGTACGTCCTGTATAAACACAAACTCACTTCCTTGATAACTTCCTTCACAATAGCTCTGCTAAGCGCAAGAATCATGAAAGCCCTGAAGTCTGTGGAGGCTGCATCACAGTAAATGCTGTACGGCCACTTCAGATGTCGGATTGACCATGCAGAGCCTTTTAAAGAGGTCTGTGTTCTCCATTTGTCATGATGTATGTTCTAGTACGAACGCTTCTCTTTCAGTCAGACCCTCTTGCCTATGTGATGGTGCCATACTTCCCCAATGGAAGTCTCTGGGCTGTTCAGGCTGCCAAACCCCTAACTGCCACAGTGAGTTTTCTCTGCTACCTTCTCCATATTTTACGATGAGGTTTACAAAATTCTGTTAACTTTCCCAAAATTCCCAGGTTTCCAGAAATCCCAGTTTGAAGATTCCTGGACTTTCCTTCTGATTCCTGGAATCTTCTAACAGAGTTTTCTTGAAAATCGGCCAATTTTGGAACCCTATTCACGTGCCCTTGTTTTGTGATAGTATAGCACATTGACCTACTGTCCCGTCTCTCCCATCAGGAGAGTGTGAAGGTGATGAGAGGAGTGGCCAGGGGGCTCCAGGCCCTCCACGCTGCAGGCATCACCCATGCCTCCCTCAACCCCAACAACGTGTTCGTCCTCCACCGACACCAAGGCATGGTGGGAGACTACGACTTCACAAAGACTCCTGTGAGTACCCTGTCCTCAACCCTAACTTACCACACACCGCTCTCGTCAAACAAAAAAAACATTCTTCCCCCCTCCATTTTAAATACACTGTATCTCATGCACCTTGGTTTCTTTTACACCTGTCTGAATGATTGCCATGTATGGTTGTTTCATGGTTTGATGTTGATTCCAGGTGCAGAGGGCAATGGACAGTGGGATGGTGACGGGCTCTATCAGCCTGGTGGCCCCAGAGCTCCGCCAGGCCCAAGGCACACCTCCTACTCCTGCCTGTGACTTGTACTCCTACGGCTGCCTGCTGTTCTGGGTAGAACACCTTCATGTTGCCCTCTCCGTAGATCAGCCCAGGTCTCTGTATAAAATAAGATGGATGGTCAAGCAGCTTTGAGACAGAGTAGAATACAGCAGGAATGTATGTGTTTTTAAGGGGTTTCGGGAGAAGCTCTTGACATGTCATACAGGAGAAAGATTTTTCAAAAGTTAAATGATAACGTTGAATATTGATCAGGAGAAACTCTAGGAGATGTGAACAATAGACTTATTAACAATAAGCTCCCAGTAAGCAGTTGGGTCCATACCATTATTTTGTGGCATCAATAACGCTCTGTTTGCAGCTGCACGCCCAAGGGTTCAACTGTGATCTGGATAGTGGAAGAAGACTGGCCCTGGATATCAGCGGGGTGAAACTGGTTAGTAGCCCTGATAGCCTTTTCATGCTTTAATACATTTAGAATGCATTTTTATTTTTGCTCCCAAACTGCAGGTCTACCATGAGTAATTATGAGAATAATACATGTCATTTGTAACACGCTTTCCATTGAAAGACAATCACACAGTGTTAAAATGATGTTGTCCTCTTTGCCAGGAGGCCAAACTCCAGGCCCTGCTGTCTAAGCTGCTGGTGTGTGTTGGAAGACTGACTGCTGCTGAGACCCTGGCTGATGACTACTTCCTGTCTGACCAGTAACCAGGCAACCAGGAGCTAGTAGAGTAACCGGTACATACTGGGATAGTTTGGTTGACAGTTTTACTTTAATACTAGCATGGGTCATGTCTGTTTTAGCTAACATTCCACTCCGTGATATATGCCAAAGATGTTTAGGATGCCGGAGTGGAACAATGGCTAAACAGACTGGCACCCAGACTACTTCAATACTACAATGTTTTATTTGTTCTGTTGTTCTGCCAATGTAAAAGCACAGTTTAATTCTGTTTAGCTCTGTATTGTTTTCCTTTTTAAATGTTCTATTCAGTAATCGGGTGACGTCTTGCAGTTATCACTTTTTACAGTAAATAAAATGAGACGTTCTGAGAAGATCTGTATGGACCTGATCTCGTTTAGAACTCAAAAGGGAACAACCACCAGCACAATGCTTTCAGTTGTAAGAAGTTAGTTTGAGTTTTTGCTGCTATGTACTTTGTAACACTAGTTCTGTACTCTGTTGCTGACTGTCTCCTGACTTGCCTGATAGGGACGTTGTCAGCGCCAATCTACTGGAAAATCTCTGAAAATCCCCTGGAAAATTGTTATCATTACATGTTTTCTCACCCTTCACTTGTTGAAAAGCTATGGTTTGATTTTTGTGCCCACTATTTTCAAGAATGTTGAGTTGAGAGTAATTCGGACAAATCTTCATAAGAAGTTTTTTTTTTTGTCTGTTCTCTGTCTGTCAAAACACCAATGTTAATTTTGTACTTTTGCCTCATTCTTATAATTTGATTTCAAATCCAAACTACTGGAGACAAAAGGTGTTTGCTTCAATGCCTCATTCCATATGGAGCCAGCTGTATATGGGCTTGTCCTTATGTGTTAATGAGTTCCTTAATCCTTGTTGTTCTGATGTGGAACATCAGGCTTCAATGAGAGGCACTACTGCTGCCAATCTTCTGCCTGTCTGGGGATGGTTTCCCATTACAGTTAATGGCTCATCAAATTGAGGAGGATCTGTGAGAGTGGTGTCACTGGTTTGAGAATTACCTGTCTGCATTAGGGCTTGAGAGATTTACCCAGAGGTCTTCAGTCCTGAAGGAAAAGTTTTTGGTCTATCCTTTGAGTAGACTTGCATTGAAATTGATAGCTAAATTATTCGTGAGAAATTATGGGTGTCCATCGGGAGTGGTTCTTTACAAAGCCTAACTATAATTTGATGCCCTTTTGTTTAATGGGTGGCTGTTTGAATTGCTTGTATCTAATGGGTGGTAGAAGTCACTATTTTACATGTCCCAAGTAATGGCTGTTACAGTTTAGCATATTCTGTTATCCAGAGCAATTAAGAGTTGCTCAAGGCAACATCGACAGATTTTTCACCTAGTCTGCTCGTGGACTCGAACCAGCGACCTTTCGGTTACTGGCCCAACGCTCTTAACCACTAGGCTACCTGCTGACCTGTTAGTGTACGTAGGAGTCTCAGGCAGTTTTGTTGTGATTAAGTGTTTGGAAGAGGCACTATTCGCCCTGAAAGATGCATCATTTTAATACACTTGACTTTGTAATAGGAAGAGCTGATGGAGGAAGACGAGCAGACAGTTAATGTAAACACCATGTTTTACTACTAGGACTTGTCTGCCTGTTTTGAAATGCACTTTTCCTCGTCCCCTTTAGTGTTTTAAACTAAGATAACTACATTTCCCAGAACCACTGGGACATTTTTCATAAACACATTTAATGCAAAATGAACAAATCAACCATCCATCGATTCAAGATAAGCATCAACAGTTTTATAGTGGAAAACCATGAAGAGCTTGTCAGATAGGCAGTTATCTCAAAGTGGGCACTCTTTAAAATTAAACTTTTTTAAACTATAAATCCACTTCAAGCCATTGTCCCTGCCTGTACTCTGGCAATTGTACAGCAATCTCTCTTATGGAGAGATCAATTTAGGTGAACAAGGGACTGGATGAAAGCATGCTGTGATCATGTCTGTGATCACTGTGACCTGCTGTGCCCTCACTCACACATGTACTCCCGATGCATTGTGTTACAACTCCGGTTACAGACAAGGGAATATGATTCACAGTGATGCCAATGTAATACTCTGCTATCCAGATTGTATGTTATTTTACTATTTCCTATCACCAACACCAGTCTGGGGTATAGCTATAGACAGATAATGAGTTAGTTATGGCATGAACTGATGGCATCACTGGAAGTAGTGAACCTGCTTTGCTGCTTTCTCTAGCTGCTTGAGTGCATAATGTATGCACTCACTAACTGTAAGTTGCTCTGGAGAAGAGCGTCTGCTAAATGACTAAAATTTAAAATGTGGTGCATCCAAAATGCCACCCTATTCCCTACATAGTGCACTACAACGGGAATAGTGTGCTATTTGGGATGCGGACTTGGAGTTGATCCTCTCTCAGACACTTCCATCAATATTAACGGTCAATTATAATTACTGAAGACCACAAGAGCAAAGCAGCTAAACTCCTCTTAATTACTGAAGGCCACAAGGGCTAAGCAGCTAAACTCTGCTCTTGTCTGACTAGATGCAGGGAAGTCATGTGAGCGAAAAGACTGAGAATGTCCTAGCTCAGGAACTGTATTATTGATTTATTTTGTTTTTTTTTGCAGCATATTGCTAAGATAAGTCTAAAGGATTGGATCACTGAATAGACTGGAGCCAACGATTCTTACGTTTTTATAAAAGGCACATGCATACATTTCAGCTTTGCATTTTTAATTAATTAGTAATCTTTTCTAAAAACATAATTCCACTAACATCATGGGGTATTGTGTGTGTGTGTGTAGATCAGCGACAATCTAATTTAATCCATTTTAAATTCAGGCTGTAACACAATGTAGAAAAAGTGAATACTTTCTGAAGTATTCAGTACATACTATATGAATTCAGACTTGTATCTGGGGACATCCATATTCCAGAGTGCCTTTCAATGTAAGCCCATTATTGAAACAAATGGACTTCCACTGGCATTGCTTATCATAACATAACAAATTGCAGTTGGTCAGAGGTCGATGGCATGGTTGAGCAAAGTTTAGTGACTCATTGCAAATATTTAGTTTCCTATATATGTAATACTTTTAACGAGTTTACTTATCTTCAATAAGGATGATACTCTCTCAGATAGACTACAGTTGACATTATTTATTCCGTGTCCAACATGTTCAGATGTCCATCCATACATTTGATTAGACATTTAGAGTGATGTGTAGATGACAATGACGCGTTTCGTTACTTTTTAAATCTCAACATGAAATCAGCATTGTTCAAACACTGATGACTAATTTAAGTAGGGGTATATATTCTGGTTTAACATTTGTCAAAGAGTTCTATTGCCCATCCCTAAACACTTTTCCTTGCAGTCTGAGGTGAAAATTACTTATGCATTCTTTGGGCACCCTCCCCTCCTCCAAATGCGCTCCACGCCACAGGTATAAAACTCACAAGATGCTTGCTGCAAAAGACCGTTGCGATCACAGAATAGTCATTCACTCAACGAAACCATCTCCAGTCTTCACAAAATAAAGTGAGTAAAAACACTTTTCTGTCGCTGATTATTTGCCTTTTGTATAGACTTCAAGGTTTGGTGAAGTTTCTCTTGATTTGAATTAATAAAGAAAATATTTATCTTCATGGAAAACCTTTTTTTGCACATTCATATTTTCAGAGTTTGTTATCAAAGATGATGGAATATTGTTTCAGATAACAAGGTGTTGTTGGCTTTATGGTTAATTACAGTTCATGTATAAGTAATTACCCACAGTGGCAAATAAAAATGATTGGCTACATTGTGAACTAAGGACAGGAGCAAAGTGACAGTGCATTTATTTGTTTTCTCGTTTGTTTCTCTGCGCCTTTGTGTGCTTTAGATGCGCCCTAACGCAGCAATGTCTCTGGGTATGCTGGCGGTGTGCTCGCTGGTATGCATGTCAACTCTTGTGAACGCTTATCCATCCAAACCCGCCAGTCCAGAAGAAGGTGCGCCTACCGAGGATCTCGCCAAGTATTACTCTGCACTCAGACACTACATCAACAAAATCACTCGACAGCGGTGAGTTCTTCTTTTGGTGATGGGAAGGTACAGCATATGATGACGATTATTATTTTGGGTAAACAATTACATTCATACATTTCACAAGATGTGCATTTGATCCCAGAAGATAACATTTGGAAAAACACATTTCCAAAGTGGTTCTGATAATGTTTCTCTTTTGTTACTCACCTTTCACAAATTATCTGTATTTCATAAGGTTTAACATTGAATGAAATAAACGGTTGCAATATAAAAAAATATATATTTACCCCGCTCTCTCAGGTATGGGAAAAGATCCAGCCCTGATACAGTGTTCTCTGACCTGTTACAGAGGGAGAGCACAGGGAGCATCCCACGAACAAGCCAAGGATACCGATATACCTCTCCTCAGTATGATCAGCTTTAGCTATCTTCTTTTTGGGGGTGGGGATTAGTAGCCTAGCTCTAATCCATTATTTTTGTTTAAGCAGTTTCATACTACCTCTTTTTTTTTTTTAATGCACTATACCCTATAGGCTATATTAAGAGCAACAGACACAGCAATATACTCATCCCTGACTGTAGCTAGCTAGAGTTAGTAGTCAATGGTCCAACATAATAATGGTCCAACATGAATGAACACTTTGCTTGTTTCTCCTGATAGATATGAGGACCTACCGTTGTGGTGGTGATGCCAGTGTATTACGGACTTCCATACCAGTCCCTTTCAACAACACCACTTGCTGTTTGTCACAACAACAACACCACCACCACATTGCCTGCTGGTTACTGACCTGACCTGGACTTTAATGGATATCTGCAGTCTGCATGCAACCACCTCTCTCTGTCTGTCATAGAAGTGTCCTGTACATATGTTACTTTTGCCTTTGTGTATCACAGTGTACTGTAAACCAAAATAAACATTTACTGGTTGGATTAAATACATAATTTAAAGTACTTTGGATCATTGTTTTATAATGTGACTCTTAAGTATATCAACAAGAAAATACTAGGACTCCAGAATCAGAAAGTAAACAAAGTGGTCTTAATAAGATAAGTGTATTTTCTAGTGTGGATTTTACACTTATTGGATACTAGTTGTTCCTGCCACAACCATTGGTCACCATAGCAACACCCACCCGTAGTATGCGCTCCAGCAGGTATATCTCACTGGTCATCCCCAAAGCCAACACCTCCTTTGGCCGCCATTCCTTCCAGTTCTCTGCTGCCAATGACTGGAACAAATTGCAAAAATCTCTGAAGCTGGAGACACTTATCTCCCTCACTAACTTTAAGCATCAGTTGTCAGAGCACCTTACCGATCACTGCACCTGTACACAGCACATCTGAAATTAGCCCGCCCAACTACCTCATCCCTATATTGTTATTTATTTTGCTCATTTGCACCCCGGTATCTCTATTTGCACATCATCTCTCTATCATTCCAGTGTTAATACTAATTGTAATTATTTTGCACTATAGCCTATTTATTGCCTTACCTCCATAACTTGCTACATTTGCACACACTGTATATATATTTTCTGTTGTATTTTTGACTTTATGTTTTGTTTTACCCCATATGTAACTGTGTTGTTGTTTTTATCGCACTGCTTTGCTTTATCTTGGCCAGGTCGCAGTTGTAAATGAGAACATGTACTCAACTGGCTTACCTGGTTAAATAAAGGTTAAATAAAAATAAAAAATAAAAAAGGACCTGGATCTACACCAAGAACCACTGCTGTGCACAGGGTTCTCTTTGTTCCCACTGGTTTTACGAAGAGATATACTGCCCTCTACTGGAGTGGCCTGGTACTCTCAGACACCATAATACTCCAGCTTGGAATCTAGCCTTCAAACAGCGGAGTGAAAGGTGAGAATAACATTCGATTCATTATTTCAATGTGTAACACTGTTAACCTTTCACTGGTCTGTGTGGATTTTGATTGTGTATAATCGCCTATATAACAGCACCTTGCCGAACGTGAAAACAGATTAAGGTGTATAATCGTATTAAGTGGCCTTGGATCCCTATGGGCCAATGTCAAAAGTAGTTCACTACGGAATAGTTTGCTATTTAGGACGCTGGCCTGGTTACCTCAAAGGGACCTCATATGATAATGAAGATCTGGTGCATGAACACAGTTACCTAATTTGTGTCCCAAATGGCACCCTATTACCTTTGTAGTGAACTACTTTTGACCAGAGTCCCATTGGGGCCTGGTAGGGTGCCATTTGGGACTAAGTCCTGTTTTAGAAGATAATGTGGGGCCTGTTCTAGAGCGTTCAATGTTATAGAATGCTCAAATGTAACATAAGATTCTCTGTTTGAGTCTCAATTGACAACCTATATTGTGGACAACTTTGACCAGGGCTCTGGTGTCTTGGCTGTACTGAAATATACAGTGCATTCGGAAAGTATTCAGACCCCATGACATTTTCCACATTTTGTTACGTTATAGCCTTATTCTAAAATTTATTAAAAAAAAATTTTTTGCTCATCGAACTATACACAATACCCGATAATGACAAAGCAAAAACTGGTTTTTAGAAATGTGTGCAAATTGATAATAAAAAAAAACATCACATTTACATAAGTATTCAGACCCTTTACTCAGCACTTTGTTGAAGCACCTTCGACAGCGATTACAGCCTTCAGTAAAAAAAATTGTTTTTGTCATTTATCCAGAGCGACTTACAGTTAGTGAGTGCATACATTTTTCATACTGGCCCCCTGTGGGAAACGAACCCACAACCCTGGCATTGCAAGTGCCATGCTCTACCAACTGAGCTACAGTTGACGCTACCAGCTTGACACACCTGTATTTGGGGATCCTCTCAAGCTCTGTCAGGTTGGATGTGGAGCGTTGCTGCACAGCTATTTTCAGGTCTCTCCAGAGATGTTAGATCGGGTTCAAGTCCGGGCTCTGGCTGGGCCACTCAAGGACTTTCACAGACTTGTCCCGAAGCCACTCCTGCGTTGTCTTGGCTGTGTGTTTAAGGTCGTTGTCCTGTTGGAAGGTGAACCTTCACCCCAGTCTGAGGTCCTGCGCAGGTTTTCATCAAGGATATCTGTGTACTTTGCTCTGTTCATCTTTCCCTCAATCATGACTAGTCTCCCAGTCCCTGCCGCTGAAAAACATCCCCACAGCATGATTCTGCCACCACCATGCTTCACCGAAGGGATGGTGCCAGGTTTCCTCCAGATGTGACGCTTGGCATTCAGGCCAAAGAGTTCAATCTTGGTTTCATCAGACCAGACAATCTTGTTTCTCATGGTCTGAGAGTCTTTAGGTGCCTTTTGGCAAACTCTAAGCGGGCTGTCATGTGCCTTTTACTGAGGAGTGGCTTCCGTCTGGCCACTCTACCATAAAGGCCTGATTTGTGGAGTGCTGCAGAGATGGTTGTCCTTCTGGAAGGTTTTCCCATCTCCACATAGGAACTCTGGAGGTCTGTCAGAGTGAACATCGGGTTCTTGGTCACCTCCCTGACCAAGGCCCTTCTCCACCGATTGCTCACTTTGGCCGGGCGACCAGCTCTAGGAAGAGTCTTGGTGGTTCCAAACTTCTTCCATTTAAGAATGACGGAGGCCACTGTGTTCTTGGGGACCTTCAATGCTGCAGAAATGTTTTGGTACCATTCCCCAGATCTGTGCCTTGACACAATCCCTTCGATCTCATGGCTTGGTTTTTGCTCTGACATGCACTGTCAACTGTGGGACCTTATATAGACAGGTGTGCCTTTCCAAATCATGTCCAATCAATTGAATTGACCACAAGTGGACTCCAATCAAGTTGTACAAACATCTCAAGGATGATCAGTGGAAACAGGATGTACCTGAGCTCAATTTCGATTCTCAAAGCAAAGGGTCTGAATACTTATGTAAATAAGGTATTTCTGTTTTTTATTTTAATACATTTGCAAACATTTCTAAAAACCGGTTTTCGCTTTGTCATTATGGGCTATTGTGTGTAGAATGATGAGGAAAAATAAATTAACTTAATCAATTTTAGAATAAGGCTGTAACGTAACAAAATGTGGAAAAAGTCGAGGGGTCTGAATACTTTCCGAAGACACTGTATAGGCTACTCGTGTTTAATGCTTGTTATTTATTTCACAAGGAGTATGAATGTGTAACAGTGGCTAGTCATGTTGTTTAACTAACATAGGGATAATACGTCCCAAATGGCACCCTATTCCTTATATAGTGAACTACTTTTGACCAGGTCCCATAGCGGGCTATACTATATAAGGATGTTGCTGTGTGGGTTAAAGCTGTTTGTAGAGCGTGGTCACAGTCAATGTCAAATACAGAATCATCTATAATTGAATAAATAATTACGGTGATTGTAGTGCAATCTGAAAACTATATATGAACGGAAAAGAGCAAGTCTGAAGTTTAGACACAATATAAAATATTGATAATATTTTATACTATACCAAGTTCAGGTGAGTGTGAGGAAATTAGTCCAACCAATCTGGTAAGCAAAGCAAACTGATAGTAATCAGAGTTTGCATGAAAGTATTTCTGTAGTACGTTATTAAGTGGGTGGAAACTACATTCGCTAACTACTCGTCTCTAAAGTGGACTTCGAGATCAAACGTCATTCGGCGGCATGTCTCCATGACAGGCGTCGCCGGTTGCGAGCGAGAAAGAGTAGCCTACTCTGGGGTGCACGGAATCTATGGAGATCTGAAATTCTGACGGAATCACACGGAGAACGTCAGGTAAAGTCATACATTTTATTACCATCTCCTTCATAGCCCATTAGACTTCGAAACAGCGTGAGGGGCTCAGTGCCACGAAAAAAGGGTTCAAATAGCGAAACGCAAGTCAGGTTAGGCTAGCAATCCACTCACCATTCTTGCAACGCTCACTAGCCAACTAGCTGGATCCAGTCAGGCTGGGACTCAGAGTTGATAGCTAGCAAGCTAATAATATCATGCTAGCTACCATTGCTAACCAAACATCGAGCGTGTTAGCTATATTTCTAGACTACCTATAACTAGTTTGCTTATTGGCAATCTAAACCATATATCCAGTTAGCTTGTTTGCCACAAGTTATGTGGAATTGTGCAAATCATCTGCTGTCATTTTGTACTCCGTCAAATTGTGCTCGAAATGCTTCAGAAATACCAATGAGTTAATTGGCCAGAAAAGTGGTTGTATTAGCTTGATATATCAATCGGACAGTTGGCTAATAAAGTTAGCAAAACGCTAGGAACGTGTCCCATGCGACCACTCATCTGCTCTGTCTTAGCCAAATGGCAAACCCAAAATGTCTGCACGTGTTCCGCACCTCGCTCACGAAGCTAGCTAATATTTGTGTGCACTACTGTAACAAGTGTGTGTCCCAAATGTGTTATTTGGAGGGTAACTAAGGTGTTTGGGAGATTTGTGTTGGCTTTCTGGAAGGTTCCACGTGTTGA